CAAGACTTACAATAACTCTATTTAAAATTCAAGTTAATAAATATCTTTTCATCAGGCTATTGACATACAGTGTCAAAAGAACAGAAATTTCTGTGAAACATGATTTACCTGCCCACAAATGTATCATCCTGAATGAACCATTTCAGTCAAGCCCACTTCAGTCAAGTCTACCACTTGATAATCTCAAATGTTACCAGTGATGACTCATGGAATTAAGAGTTCTCTATTTTTATATTCTTCTTTGTTTTGGATGTAAACCCATCCATCTAAACCATTTTAAGTTAATATTTCTATTGGTATTGTTGGTATCTCCAGCCCCCCCTTGTTTTTTTAAAACTTTAGATTTATTTTCAAAAGTATTTGTATATATGCTATGTTTTCATTGACTAAAAACAGGGAATGGCAGCACTGGATTGTATATTTACTGTATTGGAGTTCCTTTGTTTTCTTGAACTGTAATTTCAAATACTCAGGTAACTACAAATATCACAGGGAGTCAAGTGCTCTTATAGAGGTCCTTCAGGGGGCTGTCTCACTTGAATTTCCTTAAAAGATGTAAAATTGTGTTTATAATTAAACTTTTTTTTGTCCTTCATTTGCATACTTTTATGTTAGTCTTGAGTAAAAAGGTTTTCTCCCACCTACAGAGAAGCCTTCTATAGGATCAAGTTGTATATAGATTCAGTCTCTCTGCTATTGTAAGTGGGTATTTTACAACATGTCTCAACTGTGGAGTGAGTAGAAAAAAAATATTCAACTGAGATGAAAATGGATGTGGCACCCATGCTGAAGAGAACCAAGATAATGGCATACATTTTTCTGAGATGACAAACGATGAAAGGGGACCTTACTTACGAATGCTGAATTGAAAACCAGCTAGTTACTAAGAACAATTGTTATCAATGAGTAGCTGCCCTGACTAGCTTCAATAGCTCTTTTTAGTACATATCAGGTAACCATGATGTCATTTGAAAGAACCCTAGTTCAAAGAAACTAAATGGAATATTTTTATAATATGCTGATCTAACAGTTACTGGAAGACATATTAAACTGCTCAATCCTAGCTTCTGAGCAGTAGACCCTATCCTGTTTAATTTGTCCTACATATGCAATCAAAAAGCTCTAATTACAATAAGCTTTAAAAGTGGGGAAGATTGCCCCCTGGCTTAAAAAAAAAAAGTAGTTATGGCTCTCCAACCCCAAGCCTACAAAGCTCAAACTGGGACTCAGCTGTGGTTGACTGCTGTTCTCTGGACTTTAAAGAACTGTCTTATTATTGTGTTAACTGTGGAACAGAAGTTGACATTCTAAGTGCATTTGAAGTTCTTGGTTCCTACATGTCTGTAGGACATTTGGGAGAAGAACTAGGGAAATCGTCCTACTCCTCAAGTACTGTTGGTATCACTGGAAACTTCAAAAGGACACTGTTGGTCCTGAATGAACAAACTTCCATGAACTAAGATACTGTGAGTAAGAGAGTTTCCTCAAAGCACCCCACAGGGAAAACACACCTTGGAAATTTGTAGTGCTGCCCTCAGATAACTAAAAAAAATCTCTTCTGTTACTTTTCCTTATTTCCATTCCAAACTTGATCTGTTAATTTATCTTATCTATCTTAACAATCCAGGACAAATGTCAGTATTTATTACTGTGCCTCAAACATTGCTAGGTAAAAGAAGTGTGTTAACATTTAGTCTTCCTGGACACTCAATCAAAAATAATTTCTATTTTACAGTTAAAAAAAAATAGAAGCTTGAGACTGGGGTGATAGTTTAGTGGGTAAAGCACTTGCTTTGCCACAGGCCAACTCAGGTTCAATCTCTGGCAGCCTATATGGTTCCCCAGTACTGCAGGAGTAATTCCTGAGTGCAGAGCCAGAAGTCACCTCTGAACATCACCAAAAACAACACAAACAGGTGCTGGAGCGATAGCACAGTGGGAATAGCGTTTGCCTTGCAGCGGCCGGCCCCAGTTCGATTCCCAGCATCCCATATAGTCCCCCAAGTACCACCAGGAGTAACATTGCTGGGTGTGACCAAAAAAGGGGGAAAAAATAGAAGCTAACAGTAAATTAGTAGCTTAAAGTGACCACAGTTATTATAGGGCAGCAATTAAACTGGAATACAGGATTGTCTAGTTCCAAAGTCTGTATGTCTAAAGGTTTTGCTTAGGGATGGAGAGGCATTATACAGTCAGGCACATGCAAGAGGCTGACCCATACGGTACTTCGATCCCTTGACCCCATGTGATCCTCTAAGCACACCAGGAATGATCCTTAAGTGAAAAGACAGGAGGTAAACCCAGAGCACAGTCACGTGTGGCACCCCTCCAAAAAAGGGGGAAAAACTTTGCAGTAGTTGGATCAGGATAGTAGCTTAAAAGAGCTGGAGCTTTTAGTTTGCATGCATGAGGCGTAAGTTTGATCCCAAACATTGTGTGGTCCTCCTAGCACTGCTGAAAGTGACACATGGCCCCAGAGCATCGCTGGGTATGGGCCCTATCTCCCCCTCCCCGCCCCAAAATATTTTGTTGCACTGATACAAACATAACACTAGGAGTCTTATGTAGCCAGTTCAGCTATTTCAACTAGTGAGTCTCTAATCCAGTCAAATCAACAAAACTTTTTATTATTACTTCTTCCTACCCACTCAGGTCTATCTCTGCTGCCTTAGAATCTGGAAAAGCCCCACTCTCATTCTTCTTCACACAGTAATGACAAAGTCTCCAATGGAGACGTTACTGGGCCCGCTCGAGCAAATCGACGAACAACGGGAGGGCCTTTACCTTTACCTTTACCATTCTTCTTCACTGCTCAGCATGTTAGTGGTTCCTCTACATCACAGAACAGACTACAAAATAAGTCTGCTATTTATTGAAAGGCTGTCAAGGGCCTATGTCCAGCTCCTCTTTCTTCTTCATTCTCACTCCAGCTATATGAATTATTGGCTTCTCTTTGTTTCTGTGATTATGATCTTGTAAAATTCTTTTACCACAGACAACTAATCCATTTTTTCTTTTGTAGCATGATCATGATATGCCTATGTTCCGGAATGTTTTGAGGTGTAGCCAGCCTGCCTTTTGCTAAATACTGTGCTAATGTTTCTAGCATTAAATAGCAACTTTTAAATATATAATCTTCTAAAAACAAAACAACTTTGGACATTTTGTACACCCAAGAAATACGGCTTCAAAGGGCAGACTAGAGCATTCACATGAGGAATCCGGGTTCAATATTTGGCACCTTGTGTTTTGTCTCCCATCTTCTACATTTCCGCAGGAACAGCCCCCAAACAAAGTAAACCAAAAAGAATTAAATCTTGAACACAGCTGTTGCAAAGAAAGGGTAGAGAACTCCTGCACATAGAGCTTTCACCCACTTTTTCCAGTGTTAGAATCACCCATAATTTGTTAAAATGATCTAAATGTACTTTGGTAAACAACTTTTAATCTTTGTCCCTTGTTGAGATTTCACCAGTCTTTCCATCAAAGTTTTCACCAAAAGCCAGAGAGATAGTATAGTAGATAGAGCACTTACCTTGCATGGGACTGAAGCTGTCTTAATACCCAGCATCCAATACAGTCTGTCCCCCAAGCCCTGCCAGGAGCACTTCCTGAGTGCAGAGCCAGGAATACACCTGAGCATCACCAGGTGTGTATCTGTGGCCTTCCCCTACCTGCCCCCCCCCCCCCATTTTTCCTTTTTCCTGTCTTCAATCTGTGGGATTCACTTGCCTTTCATATTTCACTGACCTTGATATACAGTATTGACTAGGCAGACTCAGAGACATTATACATTTCCTTCTAATTAGGCGTAATGCTTTCTCGTGGAATTTTATGTTGTGCCTTTGGCATACTGTATTGGGAACACACATCAATCAATGTATTACCAGAACATTAACTTTGGTCCTCTGCTAAGTTTCCTTGGTTTATAGTCAGTCACCAATGCTTTTAACTGTAGAGAGGAGTATCAAATGACATTTTAGTTAAGTCGTTTGTATTAAATTTAGCAAACTAATGATACTAGTTTAAAACTAATTTTTTTTTAAAAAAAACAGCATTTATTAATGGGATCTCGAGGCCACTGAAGTCAGTGTTCAGCTCAATAACATGTCACATGGTGCACTAAACAGTGTTTTTGTTTTTGTTTGGTGTGGGAGAGCCGGGCAATGTACTAGGTATGGAACCCAGGGCCTTCTAGGAACTAGGCTTGTTTTACACTAAGCTATATATCCCTGGAGATGATTGTTTTTAACATATCATTTCCGTTAGAGAATAAAGACATTTCCTTAATAAAGACAGTGTCCTGCTAAAGAGCTGATAACGGAACGTAGGGCTCTGGTAAGAAAGGAAGGAAACCCCGTTTACAGGTGAGAAAATGAGAAGAGCACAATGATGCGTAGTGGTGCTTTCTCCAAGGTCACACAGGGTGGGACTGAGCTCGAATTCATGTCCACAGACTCCCAAAGTAGCCCTGATCGCTTCCTCTACCGGCCGGGGATATTCCCTAGGGACTCGTTCAATGACCTCCAGACTTCAGCCCCCAAACCCGGACTTCACCGCGTCCTCGCTGCAGTTTTCCTGGACGCATAAAGGATCTCTGCTACCCCTGTTCTGATCTTCATACTTTTCCCACCACTCGTCACCAGGCCTACCACAATCAGCCTAGATCGTTTGGGAGGCTAGTTATTTGCAAAACAGTGGATAAGGCGCTTGCTTTGCACGCGACCGAACCAGGTTCATTCCGACACCTCATAACCCCCACCCCTCCCAGTCCCGCCAGGAGTAAAGCACCGCCGGGTGTAAGGGCAAAACTGAGGAAACTACTTCCGATCCCGCGAACTGGCTTTTTTCTGCACGGGCGTAGCTGGGAAATCACAGCCATTGTACTCTTGAGCCTTTGCCTTTTCGCACAGCCAAGTACCCTGTAGCCCTGAGGGGGCGGAGCCAAGTCCGACCCGCCCGCCTGCTCCACGCGGGCTTCTCATTGGCTGCCAAGGCTGTCGCTCTAGACAGTGCTCTGCGCAAGCGCAGAAAGATTCGGGAAACTGGATTGGGAGCTGGCGAAGTGGAGGTAATCGTTCCGACATGGTGAGTGTTCTCCCAGTGCTTGTGACTGGGCCCGGCTGCCCAACAGCCCGCCCGGGGCTGGGTAGTTTCAGATTGTCCGGAGCCAGGCCCGAGCTGACCGGAGGGCGGAACACGGGGCGGCGCGGGGGCCTCCAGCCCCGGCCTGAGGCGCCCCGGGCGGGGCCACCGGATCCGGCGCTCCCTTGACCGGAAGCGCTCGGGGCGCGGCGCGGCGCGGCGCTGACGGCCATGGGGAGCCCGGCGCGGGGCCCCTGCCTGCTCGCGTCCCGGGGCTCGCCGCGGGGCCGCAGTAACGGGGACGTGCCTTGCAGGCTTCACGAGGGCCAGGCGGTGCTGAGCGCCTTGCGCGTCCTGGCGTTCCTCCTCACGCACGGCTCGGTGAGGTAGGCGCGGCCGTTCCCCTCCATCTTGCGGGCGCGGGGAGCCGAGCGCGGGGCCGCCGCGCGGCCAGGCCCCGGGAAATGGCGGCCACGGGCCGGGGGCTTGCTCGCGGTTGTTTCCCCCCCACACACGCCACAACCCCTGAGAACACTAGACCCGGGGTGTGCGTTGCCTTTCCAGAAAACTTTAAAATTGTACTTTAAAAAGGGGGAAAACAGTGCCACCACCAGTCACTGTTACGGGGGTTGCATCTTCCGCATCACCGGCTTTCGGCAGTTCAGCGTCTACTAAAGGCACAGATGTGGGCTCTCTTCAAAAGCTTTTTTTTTCTTACATTCCAAAAAGCGGAGGTGGGTGTTGTGTTTTGGGTCACATTCGGCGATCCTCAGGGGTTGCTCCTGGCTCTGTGCTTAGGGATCACGCAGAGGATCGTACGTGGCGTCAAGGATTGAACGCTCGTGGGCGTGGCACAGGGGCAAGCGCCTTAGCAACGTAGTGCAATCTCCCAGGGCCGCCACCGTATTTTTGGTACTGTCCCTTGTGGGGTCCACACCTGGAAGACGCTCTCAGTGGACCATGCAGGTACCGAGGATGGAACTCAGGGCTTTGCTACTTGCAAGGCTTCGGCTTTGCCACTTGAACCAGCTCCTTTACGCACCAGTGTTTATTTAGAGGCCCTTTTTAGCAAATTCATGCCGTCATAAAGACTAGGTTGCAAGTGCACACCTTGGTAAATACAGTTGACTGTTTCCTGGTCTATAAGCACAAGACCTGTTTATTACATGAAGCCGAACACGTGTTTATGCTGCAACTTTGTTTAAATATATTTTCAGGTTTTTTTGTAGGGGAGTTCTGGGTGATGCTTGGGCCTACTCCCACTTCTGTACACACATAACCATGCAGTGCCAGAGATCAAAACCAGTGCCTCCTGCCTGCGCATCCTGGGCTCAGCCCTTTACGCTTACCTCTAGCCTCTCCTTTATTTTTTAATGAGCTGTGCAGAAGCTTTCTATTGCAATATTGCATTTATACATGTAGGATATTTGTAGTTTTTCACTTCAGAAATGCTCTAATAACTGTTTTGCAGCTCTTGGTCTTGTTTTTAGTCTATGCAAGGAATCAAACCCAGGTCTCAAGGGCAGTACAGCCAGTAGGGCAGTTACCTTGCACACTGCCCTGAACTGCACCAAGAGTGACCCTGAGCACCACCTGGTGTGCTCTCCCCCGCCCCCCCCCCCCCAAATTTATCTCAATTATGCAAAGCAAGTGCTTTAGCAGTGAGTTACATCCCTGTCCTACTATAACTGTTATCTTTTCTCTTTGGGGAGAAGGGGGGAGCACACCTGCACCACCACTTCTAGATATCACTCCTAGCAAAGCTGGGGAGAAGAAGGGATTATATCCAGTGACTTGTCTTAAACCAAGGTTGCTGAGGCAGCTACATGCTAGGCAAGCGCCTTTATGTTTGTATTGTCTCTTAAGTCTGTCTTTTTTCCTTTTTTCCCCTTCATTCTTGCTAGTGTCTTGGTAGGGTAGATGAACAGAAGTGGTACTTCTAAAATGGCTAGTTTGTATTTAGTGGAAATTCCAAATTACCCTCCAGAGTGAATCATAAGAAATCCATAATTCTCATCCACTCTTACTCCACCAACAGCTATTTTCATTGCTCCTTTTTTTTTTTTTTTGAAAGAAAGGAGCAACACCCTGCATTGCTCTGGTGACCATGTGCCAGGGATCTAACATGGGCCTCTTGCATATGAAGGATGAGCTCTCGCCAGCTGAGCTGTCGCTCTGGCCTAAAAGTTCTGTCTTTAATTGAGGAGAATCTATACTGTTTCTATAGAGACTGAAGGTCACTGCTGTGTCACCACCAATAGTGAATGAGGTTTCCTTTTGCACTACTTTCCTACAAGTTCTGATTGTTTGAGGACTTTTTGAAATAGGCCTTCTCACTGGTGTGAGGTGATGTTTCATTGCTATTCTGATTTGCATTTCCCTGATAGCCTAAAATAATGAACTTTTACATATACCATTTTTTTTCTTTTTTTAATGTAGGAGTACTGCTATTTATTCAGCCACTGATTAGCTGATTGAATTGGGCATGAACTCCACATACATACACCATCTTTTTATGTTCTTTGAAGAAGTGTCTGTCCAGTACTTTTTCATGAGTGGTTTTTGTTTTTATTTTTGTATTTGTTTAGTGCCAAGACTTAAACCCAGGTCACATATGCAAGGGAAGTGATCTACCAGCATGATAGATCCATGGCCCCCATTGTTTTTATGAGGTTTTTGGTTTGCGAGGGATGTGTGTTTGTTCGGTTTTGGGTTTGTATGCTATTCGTATATCTTGGATATTAACCCTTTATCAGGTGCATGATGTGCAACTATTTTTTCCTGATTGGTAGAGAGTGTTTTAGTTTTGTTGGCTTCTCTTTTCTTTTTTTGGGGGGGGTGGGTCACATCAGACAATGCTCAGGTATCATTCCTGGCTCTGCACTTAGAATTACTTCTGATGTTGGTGCTGTAAAGACCTTGGGGATGCTAGGAATCAAAACTGGTTGGTGGTGTGCAAGGCAAGCACCCTACCCACTGTCCTATCTCTCCAGTCCCCTCTTTCTTTTTTTTTTCTTTGTATATTTTAACCAATGGTTGTAGCTGTAGCTATGTTTTACTATGCAGAAACTGTTTTGTCCCATTTGTTTATTTTGCTTTATTTTCTTTACCAGTGGCCTGGAGTGATTAAAGACACCTCTGAGGTCCATAGTCCCCAGCACCACAGGGTGTGGCCAAAAAAAAAAACACACACACACAAGCATCAAGATACTGAATATACTGGTTAGACTCTCTCTAGAAGCAAGAGAGGGAGTTGAAAATATTAGCTGACCCTGGGGGCCTACATATCCACTCAGGTATTTCTGGTATCAGATGGCTAGAACTGTAGGGATGACAAGTTACCCTAAATGCAAAGGAACCAGCATGGCTGAAGTACAGTGAGCAGGGTGGGTGGGGGGTGTGGAGACTGACCAAGTAAGAGAGACAGCCAAGATCAGCTTAGTGGTTCTGGTAGTCACAGTAATGACTCTGCTCCTTTAATGGAGATGATTTGGGGAATGACAGGTAGTTCTGGAGGTAAGGAATGAGGCGAGCCAATGTTTCGAAAGACTGGCTAGCGGCTGTCTGGGTGCAGGGCTGGGGATCAGCATCAGCTGTGCGTAAGGCAGGGGCCTTATCTCCTATACTGTGCCTCCAGCCCACTGGTCAGTTTTTTAAAGGCTTTTTTTAATTAGAGTTAATGCGCTCCTGAGGGCAGGGACCTCCTCAGTAGTAAACAGTGGTGTATATATCCACTTCTTTTCCTGACCTGCTCTGTGTTTTTGTTTTGCTTTAAGTGTTCTTTTTTTTTATTTATTTTTTGCTTTTTGGGTCACACCCAGCGATGCACAGGAGTTACTCCTGGCTCTGCACTCAGGAATTACTTCTGGCAGTGCCCAGGGGACCACATGGGATGCTGGGAATCGAACCCAGGTTGGCCACGTACAGGTCAAACACCCTACCCACCATGCTATCGCTCCAGCCCCTGCTCTTTGTTTTGAGACAAAACTCTTTTTCCCTTTTTTCAGGGGAGGGAAGGATTTGGGGCCACCCCACCTAGTGATTCTCAGAAGTTGTTCCTCGGTCTACTCAGGGAACTCTGTGGGATGCCAAGGATCGAACCCAGATCAGCCATGTATAAGGCAAAACACCCTCCCCTCTGTACTATCACTCCGGTCTAACTCTTCCTTTCTGAGCCTCAGTTTTTCATTTGTTGAATGGAGATAAATCACACTAACCTTGGATGGTTCAGGTGACAATTGTATTTCACCGCTGATAGCTCATGTATAACCACTCTTTTTTGTTAAGTATATTAAGCAGTCAGATCTCAGAAACTAATTCTTACTAAGCTCAGGATCAGCTGGACCCTAACTCTTTGGGGTGGGCGGAGAATCAGAGGGGGACACCCAGCGCAGTTGCTCAAGGCTTCCTCCTCACTTCTAATGGTCATAGGGGATCATATGCAGTGTGGGACTGAACTGTGTTTCACTGCATGCCAAACAAGCACCTTTACTTTGTACTATCTCTCTGCCCCTTGAATTTTTTTTCACTGGGTACTGGAAGGTGGGCTGGAGGGGATAGCACAGCGGGTAAGGCGTTTGCCTTGCACACGGCCAACCCAGGTTCAATTCCTCCATTCCTCTCGGAGAGCCTGGCAAGCTCCCGGTGGTAGATTCGATATGCCAAAAACAGTAACAAGAAGTCTCACAATGGAGATGTTACTGGTGCCCGCTCTAGCAAATTGATGAACAACAGGATGACAGTGCTGCAGTGCTACTGTAAGGTAGATTTTGTGAACTATATGGTTCAGTGGTAGAGCAGATTCCTTCTATGCATGGGACCCTGACCTTGATTCCCAGCACTGCAGAAAAAAAGAAAAAGTTGGTGTTGTGAAACAGTTGCAGAAATGATTTTCATTTACTTTCTTAAGTATTTACTGGGCCTATTTTTGTCTCATATCTGGTAGTCAACAGGTACAGAAAGTTACACTCCAGTATTCTGAAACTTTGAAGGCAGGGGGCCATACAGGCCAGAGGACCTGTCTCAGGACTCCCACAGAAGACCCCTGAGCTGCGGCCAAAGGATTGGGACTGAGTGAGAGAAGTGCCACTGCTCAGCCACACTGCAGGCTGTGCGTGCCCCCTGCTGTGCCCAGAAGTGAAGATGGTTAGCCCTCCACCCCTTCAAGAGCCTTTTCTGGCCACCTTATTCAAAATTGCCATAACCTCGGCATCCAGATGATCTTGCCAACTTGCCAACTGTATCTGACACTTACGGTTTACTTATTTATTATTTAATGTCTGATTCCCCTCTCTTCCAAATATCAGGGGTTTTTGGTGGTTTGTTTTTTTGGGGGGTGTTTTTTTTTTTGCATTTTGTGCCCCACACACAGCTATGCTCAGGGGTTACTCCTGGCTCTGCTATCGAATTACTCCTGGTGGTGCTTGGGAGACCATATGGGATGCCGGGATTGAACCCGGGTCAGTTGTGTGCAAGGCAAATGCCCTGCCCTCTATATTACTGCTCTGGCTCCACCAAATGTCAGTTTTATAAGAGCAAGAATATTTGTTATATTTGAGTTGTCCTGAATTGTCATAAAAGGGGAATGGAGTTGGATGGGGGCACACACAGCCTTGCAGACCTGGGAGCTTCTCCCAGCTCATAGTTTAGAGCCACTCCCAGAGGTATTGGGGTACCATGTCTTACATTCCATCCTCCTGTGTGCAAAACATGCGCTTTGAGCTGTCTCCCTAGCCCCCAGTTTCCTCTTAATGTATTCATGTAATGTTGAGCATGTCAGAGACCTGTTCTCTTATCAGAGATCTCTAAAATACAGAGGAGTTAAAAAAAAAATTTAAGAAAAATGGGGGCTGGAGAATAGCACAGCGGGTAGGGCATTTGCCTTGCACGCAGCCGACCTAGATTCGATTCCCAGCATCCCATATGGTCCCCCGAGCACCGCCAGGAGTAATTCTTGAGTGCATGAACCAGGAGTAACTCCTGTGCATCGCCGGGTGTGACCCAAAAAGAAAAAAAAATTAAGAAAAACAATAGAATTTTCAGGCTATCTTAAAAATAAAAGGAACCTTATTTATAATTCCTTTTTACTAATATGACTTCTCCCCATAATTTCTCTAGTCTTCATGTTTTCAAGTAGTTGCCATCACTTGGGCACTTTATTTTTGCATTAAATTGTGTTCTTGTTTTTATTTTTATTTTGGAGCCACTTCTGGCAATGCTCAGGGGTTACTCCGGACCCTGTGCTCAGGAATTACTTCTGGCAGGGCTCCGGGGATCATATGGGATGCCAGAAATCGAACCCAGGTTGCCATGTGCAAGGCACACACCCTGATGCTATTCTCTCCATCCCCTTAATTGTTCAATTCACATAAAACATATGTAGTGGTATAAATTTTCTGATCATCGTTGTTAATGTATTTCTTTGAATATTCATAATTTAATTAATGTTCCTAATTATGGTACATAGTAAAACTTTGGTTTCGTATATGCATGATCCACTGTATTGTATTTCTGTTCCCAGAGCGAGCTAGCCTCTGTCTATTTCAGAGGTTTGGGCTTTTTTATAGAAAGAATTTGTTTGCCCTTCGCTCCAGCATTTGAGAGTATTCTTACATCACTAGGGAGTGGGTGGTAGTGACTGGGTTGTCATCCTTGTGCCAGCTAGAAAAACACAGTAATTCATTGTGCTGTCTCCATCGCTGTTTCAGAGCTTCTCCCTTCCCCACCCCCAGCCCATTTGCCTCTGGGATAGGGAACCACTCTGTCCGTGACTAGAGCCTCTGTTTCCAGCGTAAGCCGTCTCTGACTTGGAGGAGTTCCACTGGATCTGGAGAAGTCTAGAAGGTGACTCCTGAAAGCGAGCACAATTGTGGGACACTTTTCATCCATGGGAAAATTAGGGCTTAGCTCAGTTACACAGATATTCACTAGGCCTCTGCTCTGCATTAAAACATAAAAATAGTAATCTAATATATCCCCAGTCAAGCACAGGCAAGTGCTGGGGCATAGAAATGGGCAAACACTCCATCGAGTTTGAGGTTTAATAAATTTTATGGATGATGGTCCAAAATCTGTTGGATTTTGTCAGAGATACCAAAACCTATTCTAACGAGATACCTTGCTAGAATAAAAGTGGAGACTGAGAGGTTTGGGCATATAACTGAAGAATGGCGGGGAGGAATCACGTGTGGGAGTGATACTATAGAAAGCCTTGCGTGGGCACGAAAGAACCCTAATAGCTGGTTGTCCCTCTGTTTACAAATGCCTTGTGTACTAGAGCACCCCATCCTCTGATTAATTTCTGGAGAATCAGGATAGTGAGCCTCTTTCCTGTATACATTGCCAGAGACTATACGCCATGTGTCACATTGTCTCAGATGCCATCTTACCAAATCATTGAGTCTATCCTCATAGCCTCATTTTGCTTCCTTTGGAATGTTTTCATTTGTGCAGTTTGGACCACATGTAGTAATCACTTCTTCCTCTGGGGCACCATTGTTTGGATATTTTTCAAACCATCGGTCTTGTCCCCCAAATATGTGAGTCAGGGATGTGTCTGTATTCCCAGAAATGCTGTTTATACTCTAATTTTCTAAAGAGGAAAGGAACTGGGATTGGGCCAAGGGTTCTCCTGTCAGGGATGTGAACAGAAGGTCACGTTCTGGTAGCTGTGGTCCATTTGGCAGCTGAAGAGCTCGAAGAATTGTCAGGTACCTGGGTGCTAACATGCAGCCTCCAGGTTGTGAGTCATTTGCCGTGTGTATGAAGAAATTATTCCAACTTGCCTGGCCTCTCCTAACCTTGGCCTTGTTTTCTCTGGCAGGCAGAGGTGGAGGAGACACTAAAGCGACTTCAGAGCCAGAAAGGAGTGCAGGGCATCATTGTGGTGAACACCGAAGGTACTTCCTCCCTTGTACCATGACCTGCATGCAGGAAGCCCCTAGAACACAGCCCAAACGCCTGATCGCACTCGCTGTTTAGTAGGCCCCTTTGTCTACGTAATCTAATTCTCAGCTTTTTTTTTTTAAGTGATATCTCTAAGTCTATGAGTATAAATCATTGGTAGAGTGCATGCCTCACCTATGTGAGGGCTTGCGTGCAATCCCAGGCAATCCCCAAAAATTAATCTTAAAAGAAAATTAAATAAAACAATAATAATACCTCCAGTGTTTACTGCTCTTGGAATTACAAATTTTTTGTTTTGTTTTGAGGCCACACCTGACAGTACTCAGGGGTAACTCCTGGCTCCCCACTCAGGAATCACTACTGGCAGACTCGGGGACCATATGGGGTGCTGGGGATCAAGCCTGAGTTTGCCTTGTGCAAGGCAAGCACCCTACTCGCTGTATTAGCTCTCCAGCCCCAAGGAATTTAATTTTTTTTTTAAAGGGAACATTCGCTTAGTCCCACTACCCTGATAAAGCATATTTTCAATATGCCTCTTTCTCAGTTGTCTTAAATCCTATTTTCTCTTGATAATATCACTTTAATTTTATTCTTTAGCATATTTTATTCATGGACTTTTTTGGTGGTTATTGTATAATCAGTGCTTATTAGCCATATCCTATTTTTATGTTGTTTCTGCCTTTTTTTTTTTTTTGCTTGATTATACTTGATTACAGGCCAAATTCTGTGCCTGTAACTTTTTCTCCTTCTGTAGTGTTATTTCAAGTTATTTCAATCAGAAGAATACAGATATTTGGGTCTGGAGAGATAGCACAGGGGGTAGGGCGTTTGCCTTGCACGCGGCCAACCCGGGTTGGATTCCCAGCGTCCCATATGGTCCCCTGAGCACCGCCAGGAGTAACTCACTCCTGAGTGCAGAGCCAGGAGTAACCCCTGTGCATCGCCAGGTGTGACCCAAAAAGCAAAAAAAAAAAAAAAAGAAGAATACAAATACTAATATTCCCAGGCTGCACTAAGCATTACTCCTGTGCCTCACTGTGACGGGCTTCCACTGTACAAACACAGTTTTGTTTATTCCTTGAGGCAACCCTGTTTGCTTCTGTTTTTCAGTAAAGAAAACAACCTAGAAATTGAATTGATTCATCTACCATTTCTGAATCAGGATTTCGTTCTCAGTCTGCCTGAGTTCACTTTGTACAGTTTCTCCCACAAGAGAAGTGCTGGGAAGGATCGGTGAGAGGCTGCTGGTCTGTGGTTCGGCCGTGTCGAGAGTCACCCCGCAGGGGCTCCTGATTCTCTCGTTTCTCTCGCTCAGCGCGTTCAGCTCTCATTCACTCAAGGCTTCTATAGAGCCTCGGTGTCTATGTGTGCGTTGTTATCCTTCGCCTTTTTGGAAAGACACAATTTTCCCTCACTTGGGACTGGAGCGATGGCACAGCGGGTAGGGCAATTGCCTTGCATGGGGCCGACCCGGGTTCAATTCCCAGCATCCCATATGGTCCCCCGACCACTGCCAGGGGTAATTCCTGAGTACAGAACCAGGAGTAACCCCTGTGCACTGCCGGGTGTGACCCAAAAAGAAAAAAAAAATTTTCTCTCACTCTTCCCTCCAACCTCCCACCCCCTACACACACACACACGTACGTGCGCACGTTCCTCTCGTGTATGTTCCAGAGGTCAAATCCAGGGCCATATACATATGAAGCATGTCCACCACCGTCCCGCCCACCCACCCCCCAGTCCATGGAGGCAGAATATGTACTTAAAGTGAATAGAATGAAAATCATCAGATATGACTTTGATTAAAATTTTCCAAGCAGGCAGAGCTGATTTCCCAACCTAAAACCTTGTGAAATGTTATGGTCATTGTTTTCAAAGGAGGCCTCTGGCTGGAAGCCCCAGAGCTGGATGATCTAAGGGAAATTGCTTGCCCTTTCAGACTTCAGCTGCTGCTTGGTCCAAGTAATGACTTTGTGGTACTTATTACTCCAAGACAAAACACTCTGTCCTGAAAGGGACTGTCTGAGACTAGATGTTTTTGACCCCAAATCAGGAGGAAACAGCCCTAGTGGGTGAAGACTCCCAGGCTTCCTATCATACCCACAGATCACAAGGCTTCATTCATGCTTCATTAAACTTCACTAAAGTTACTCTTAGGGCCCGGGAATGTAGCACAACAGTGCTCGCCTCATGCCTCACATTTGTGGAGGCCTGGGTTTAGTCACCAGCACCAAGGAGCATGGAAAATGTTTCTGAAGTCTAGGTTTGTTCTTGGGAATATATAGCCCCAATGCTTACCTTCTCACTTTTTGTCTGTTTGTTTTTATATACTAATGAGACCTCATTGTCCAGTAGCAAAGAGAATGGAATCAGACTGAGTTTGAATCCTGTCAGCTGTGTGTTCATGGACAATTCGGTCTCTGTTCCAGTTTTCTCACCCATAAAATGTAGATAATCACTCCCTACCTCTGAGGGAATCTTTTTAACAGTGCCTGATGTACAATAAATGACGTGTAAATGATACCATCTGTGTTTATTTTAACTTGTGTCCCTTTCACTGAATCCGCATTTTACTTTTTTGTTAAAATATAAGACAAGGGTGTATACCCATTTTTCAGATTAAAACTCTATTAAACAGAGAGGTAATGACCTGCCCAGGTCCCCAGTCTGGGGATCACCAGAATTCACTCTCCCATGAGGCCTTTGAACCCTTGGAGGCTTCCATTACGTATGACCAGTTTAGAGGCTTGTGTCAGGGATTCCTTTTATCCCCGCTCGGGCTGCCTTTCCCTGCAGTGCAACTCCCCTCACCACCCAGCCCTCCCTGTTCCTCCCCAATGATGAACCCTTAGTCTGATCACTTACCAATCACTTGCCTTTCCCTAGTCAGATTCAAATGCTGTTTCATTGAAAAAACATGGGGCCACAGAGATAGTACAGCGGGTAGGGCATTTGCCTTGCATGCAGCTGACCTGGGTTTAATCCCCAGCATCCCATATGGTCCCCCAAGCACCGCCAGGAATAATTCCTGAGCGCTGAGCCAGGAGTGACCCCTGAGCATTACTGGGTGTGACCCAAAAAGGAAAGGGAAAAAAAGGCATGAATTTAAACAGCTTTACCAAAAACTTAAGAAACTTTTCATTCTGTGCACCGCCGTCATCTGCTGCTACACTCCCAGGGCAAAATACAAAAACTGAAGTGAGGGCTGAGAGAGAGCACAGAGGGTAGGGTGTTTGCCTTGCGCGCAGCTGACCCAGGTTCGACTCCCAGCATCCCGTATGGTCCCCTGAGCACCACCAGGAGTAACTCCTGAGTGCAGAGCCAGGAGTAACCCCTGTGCTTGGCCAGGTGTGACCCAAAAAGAAAAAGAAAAAAACACTGAAGTGAGTAAAGCTTCTTGAGGGCAGGAATATTTTCTCTTGTGTTCACACACTACTATGAAGCACCTGAAACATTAAAGGAGCATTAGTTCCTTAATAAGTGTCAGGGGCCGAAGAGAGAAGTCAGAGGGTAAGGTGCTGGCCTTGCTGCAGCCAGCCTGCGTTCTGTCTCCAGCACCACATACGGACCTATGAGCTCTGGAACTATGAGCACTGCTGGTGTGGCACAGAAAACAATGTGAGTTAGGGGTTAGAGATATGCCTTGGGCCAGGGGGTCATATTAATTGCAAGGTCTTGAACCTTGGCACCTTTTGACTCCTGAGCACCACAGAATATATAGCCCTAGGAGATTCCCAGCACCTTCAGACCTAATTACTGAACTGTCAGGCTCAGTCTGAGTGGCCTTCAGGCTCTCTGAGCACTGCTTTGAATACCCATTCCCCCTCCCTAAATAAGTGGGACCGAGAGATGGTACAATGGGTAGGGTGCTTGTCTTGCACACAGCAGACCTGGATTCAGTCCCCAGCACCCTAGCACCCACTCTGCTGAGCACCGAACCAAGAGTAAGCCCTGAGCACTGCAGATGAGAAAAATTAAGCAAATCTATTCATTTTATTTATTTATGACTTTTTTGGGTCACACCCAACAATGCTCAGGGGTTACTCCTGGCTCTGCACTCAAGAATTACTCTTGGCGGTGCTCCAGGGACCATATGGGATGCCGGGGATCGAACCCGGGTTGGCTGTGTGCAAGGCAAACGCCCTACCCACTATACTATCACTCCAGCCCCACAATGTATTCTTTTTTTTTTCTTCTTGATGGAGCTGGGTGTGGCGTGAGGTTCCTAGGGGTCACACCTCCCTGCTGACTGGTCACTGCTACAAGCAGCACATTTGTTTTGAAGGAGTGCAGCCCTCAAGGCAGAGACCTAAGGGAAGGCTGACCTGTGATACATAGAAAGACCAGGCTGGGCCAGAGAGAGTCCAGGGGTAAGGTGCTTGTGCGCTCTTCAGTCTGTACCCCAGTTCAGTCCCCAGCACTACATCTGGCTCCCTGAGCACCACCAGGAGTGACCCAAAAAATCAACAAATATAGATTCATCTGGTGTGACTCCAAACACAGGTGTGCTCCACAATCAAAGTAAAATAATAGTAATTTTAAAACTAAAAAAGAGAAGGCCCAGGGGTTTAATCATCCTTAAGCCGATCAATTTAACCCAGTTTAGGAGGGTTCTGGGTCCAAAATCCAGGCACTTGTGTATGACCTGGGCCTCATTTGACAATACCCATCAGTGTGGGAAATTGTTCAGGGTGACACTGAAGGAGCCTTCTGTTGACATGTCACGGTGATTCACAGGCCATGATCTACTTAGGCCAGAGGTGGGTCAAGTGCTCCTCATTCTTCGCCATCAGGACAACAGCACTGTCCGGCAAGGGAGGTCATTTAATAGTTCACCTCAAGGAAACAGTCCAGAACGACACCATTTTGCATAGTGGTGTCTGCTGCACAGTGAATTAAGTAGGAATGGAGCCTGAGTATCCAGCAGTAAGGGAATGATTAGCTCTGTCGACTGGCCCCTTAGTGGAGTCTTTGAAAACTGCCGTAGCCCTTTTGAAAAGGGTGTGTGCTGACAGCAGGCTTGTTTGGGGGGCATGACTGTGAATATATAGACTGTTTACAGCTGGGCCCAAAGCCCTCTTGGTGGCAGCTAGATGGAGCATACCACCAGTAACAATATCGTGGCACAGCTGGCCTTTCTTCTTAGTTTTAGTTTTTATACTTTTATGAAAAAGTTCCTCCTTCAGGTTCTGTTTACAAATCAGTCTCTCCATTTATTGCTCAAAAGCTGTTCAAGACGGTAATACCCCTGTGAACTGTGATGGGCAGTGGACCCATCTCTGGCCTGCATTTGCATCCTGGCTAGATTGAGGTGTAACCACAGGCAGATGAGCCTGTCACTCAGGTTTTGGTCTTGGTGGCCAGTGAAGATGTTGACTCCACCCTCTCAGAGCTTCTGGAGTCTGGTGTAGATGTGTTTGCAGATCCCAGCCTGGTGCCTGTCACATGCGTGGCACACCCTCAGAAATGGGGACATTGGGTTGGGTTGGGTTGGGTTGGGTTGGGTTGGGTTGGGTTGGTTTTTTTGGGCTACATTCAGCACTGCTCAGGGATTTTTCCTGGCTCTGCACTGAGGAATTTCTCCTGGCAGTGCTTGGGGGACCATACTGGATGCCAGGGATCGAACCTGGGTCAGTCACATGCAAGGCAAACACATTGCTGTACTGTCACTTCGGCCATCAGAAATGGGGATATTGGGGCTGGAGCGATAACACAGTGGGTAGGGTGTGTGCCTTGCATGTGGCCGACCCGGGTTCGATTCCCAGCATCCCATATGGTCCCTTGAGCACCGTCAGGAGTAATTCCTGAGTGCATGAGCCAGGAGTAATCCCTGTGCTTGGCCGGGTGTGAACCAAAAAAAAGGGGGGGGAATATTGTTAACTGCCATCCCAAACTCGTTCAGGACTCCAGAATTAGGGCTATGGGCTTAGGAGCTGGGCAGGAGGGGGCTGCCACATCTTGCTCGTTTTGTCTCCCACCTCAGGCATTCCCATCAAGAGCACCATGGACAACCCCACCACCACGCAGTACGCCAGCCTTATGCACAACTTCATCTTGAAGGCCCGGAGCACTGTGCGGGAAATTGACCCCCAGAATGACCTCACTTTCCTTCGCATTCGTTCCAAGAAAAATGAAATTATGGTTGCACCAGGTAAGAATGGTTTCGCATAACTTACCAGCTTCCACAAGAAGGCCTTTTGAAGGGATGAGAGTGGAGTTGATTGCCCCATTGCCTGGCCAGTCTACAAATAGCCACTCACAGTGATTCCTAATCAACCAGAGTGTACGGCAAAAATACTGTAGAGATCATTATCTTTGGGGAGACTTTGCCCACTTCCAAAGTGTTGTCTCAGCGTTTTCTTCAGCTGGACCAGACTGCTGGTTGTGTTTCACATACAGTGCCTGGCTTGAATCTCGGGACTCTGGCATGTTACCTCTCTTCAAGTCTTACGATGGTTCTCTGGGTGATGAGGTACTTGTCCTTGGAGGAGCCGTGGGTTGGACCATGAAAGGGAGCAGCGGGGAGGCCATCTTTCGGCCTGCTCGCCCAACTCACACTCGGACCAGAGTGGGTTCCCCAGAACTGTGTCTCTCTCTCCCACCTGTTAGCTCAGCTCCGTAGATGCACATGTAGGAGTTCAGTGTGCACGGGCTGTCCGGTAACTGTAAGGCAGCTTCTTAAATTGGAGGTCGCAACCCCGTATGGGGTCACATTCTGAATGTAGGGGGTGGTAAGAGATGTACCAGCAGTGAGAGATTTCTGAATGGCAAACCCCCCAAAATTAATTCAGAATCAATCGTGTGAACATTGAGGGTGTTCGTTGCATTTCTTGGGGAAGGGGCGGCAAATGGAAAGGTGTGCTCGGCCCTGGGTGAGGGCATCAGAGTATGTATAGGAAGGAGTTGGGTGAGCTTTATGGTCCAAAGTAAGGGACTTCAGATTCCAAATCCAGCACTGTGAACTTGACCCGGTGAGCAGCTTTAAGACAGGCGGTGATATTACTTGTCACCAGGCAGTGCAGAGGATGAGGACACCGAATGCCCCTGCGGTTGGTGGCGCAGATGGGGGGGTGGTTATGTGGTCTTCACTCCCAGCAGCAATTACTTTCCCAGGAAAGGCCTGTTTTCAGCCTCATTTGGCTGCTTAGAAAGTTGTGAAGGAGAGAACCATAAAGCCTGTAAGCACAGGGGCCCATAATCTCCTTAGGACAACCCTACCAAGGTCCAACGACATACGACGTTGATTCTTTTAAATGACAGGGCCTTGGGCTGGAGCAATAGCACAGCAGGTAGTGTTTGCCTTTCACACAGCCAACCCAGGTTCGATTCCCAGCATCCCATATAGTCCCCTGAGCACCGCCAGGAGTAATTCCTGAGTGCAGAGCCAGGAGTAACCCCTGTGCATTGCTGGGTGTGACCCAAAAAGCAGAAAATAAATAAATGAAACATGACAGGGCCTGAATGAGAGCTCAGCAGGCTAAAGTGGACTTTGCCTGCAAGAGGCCCAGGTTTGATCCAAGAGCACCTGAGCACTTCCAGGAACAGCCTGAGTGCTGACGTAGCACGGAAACCAACAACAAAAAATATGCATACATCCATCTAGTCCCTGACTGGTGGGTTATAGAGTCTCTAGTTTTCTCAGGGAAAATAATTTAGGCATAGAGTCTTGGGCAGTGACTTCAGCAAGTCACCAGACACCTCCAACCCAGTGTGTGGCTGTCCCTGGTTTGATCCCCTGAGCAGAGCCAGGAGTGTCCTCAGAGCTCCAGGTATGGCCCAGAAACAAACGAAACACGCAAAATTCTCAGCCCTCCCAACCACCACCCCCCACCTCCTGGATCAGGGGCCAAGGTTGGCCTTGAATCTAGGGACTTGCTTTACATCTAGTGACCCTTATTTCTTCCCAGTAGGCGCTCTAGGCAGTTTGATTCCCTCTAGTTAGAGAACCACTGCTGTAGGCAAGTCATTGAAACTCAGTGTCCCTCCCAAGAAAAGTGTGCCTCCCTGTTGGTGCTGGGAAGGTTAGAGGGTGCCAGGGACCACTGCCACGCAGAGCATGAGACTCCCTACTCCGCAGCTACTCGCGCAGCGGTCCATCGGGACTGCCCATCCAGGGCAGCGCCAGAGCGTGCGGGGCAGCTGATCCAGCCCTGGGTGTCAGCTCTCGGCCCCATCTTGTCTCTGACTGGAAGACAGTTGGAAGCAGCCTCAGCATGGATGCTTCTCGTCACCTCCACCCCCAAGTTATTACTTATGGCTGAATGACGTTTGTCTTTTGCTTTACATTTAGTGATTTTTTTTCATTTTTTCTTTTGCAGATAAAGACTATTTCCTGATTGTGATTCAGAATCCAACTGAATAAGTCATCTCTTGTCTTCCTGCATCATTCCTTAATTTAATATTCCCCGTGAATCTTGTTAATCACGTCAATCGACTGGCACTTGGCACTTGGATATCAACTTAGACCCTCCTCAGACCGTGCGTGGCTGCAGCTCCTCCCTCCCACCAGTGCCATCACCCCTCAGTTCCTGGAAGGGCCCTCCTCTCTCTCAATCACGTTTCTAGCAGAACTTGTGAGAGGCCTATGCCTTGCATCCTTCTGACCTTCAGTTCATTTGTTTTTCTTTAACTAAAAATAATCTAGTGCTTACTTGCTGTGTGTCTCTAAACACCAGGTTGAAACGGTGGTTCTCTTCCTGTGTGATCATGTGGTCTGCAGGCGCCTGTCTCAGGCCCTCCCGCACCTGTGCCTACACTTGCTGAGCTAAACCGGATTTATAATTGGTGCCCTGGTTTCTAGCTACCCATTTTAGCATTTCCCACTCTCACCAGTGTTTTCAAAGATTTTCTTTCACTACATTACGCTGAGGAAACCAGAGAAGCGGAGGTGCATGGAGAGAAGGAAGTTAGGTGTATTCTGAGTGCACAGAAAGTCTGATGTTTAGATCCTGTGACTCATGTCACAGGGTATTCAAGCCAACTTAAAGACAGAATGAGTCTGATGAATGACTTGCCCAAGGTGTCACAGCTGGTAGAACAGGTCTCTCACTCCAAAAGCTTTGCTTTTCACCCTGTTTTCCCCCCAAAGTCCCCATATCTAGTTCCCCTGAGTGAGTTCATCCCGGGTGAATGCCTGCCTTCCCTTAGACTAGGGCAGAGGTGGGGGGGAAGGGGTGCCAGAAGGTGCCTGCCCCTCAGGCTGTTCACCTAGCAACATTCTGGAAGCACTCCAGCTCATTGAGCTGCCTCTGGCCCAAACTGATTGGGTCTCGTATGGTCCCTGAGCCAGCTTCTAGGTGTGTTCCCCTGCGAGCATAGTGCAGCAGTTACACATACTGTGGAGCTTCTGTACCTAGAAGTAGCTAGTGTGAAGGAATAGAGTATCTGCTAAGGTGAGAAACTGACAAGCACCATGACCACAGGTTCTAAAGAACATTTCCCAGGGACCAGGGAGATAGCTCAGTGGGCCGGGGCTCAGGCATTCCTGGCAGGAGCCTGGTTCAATCTCCAGCACCACATACAGTCATCTGAGCATCACCAGGAGTGTCCTGTAAGCGCTCCTAAGGGGAGGCCCCAAACACCCCAAGTACATTTATCAGATAATAAGGATGTACCGGACCAGAGAAGGTACAACGGGGTAGATACTTGGCTTGCATACAACCAACCCAGGTTCGATTCCTGGCACCACCAAATCTGGCCTTAAAAGAACAAGGATGTATACCTACACCCAAGATTGAAGATTTTCAAACATAGAAATAAATTTCCTCCATTAGTTACTATAATCTCTACCATTAACTTTTTATATGATTTTTATTCCTCTGCCCTTTTAAAAACTTATTTCATGGACTAGAGTGATAGTACAGATGATAGTGCACTTTGCCTTGCACACAGCCAACCCTGGTGTCACCCCACGTGGCCTCCTGACCCTGCCAGAAGTAAACCCTGAACACTGCTGGATGTGGCATGGAAAAATTAGTTCAGAATAGTCACTGCACATTCAAACACATGCATTTTCTTCAACTATCCTTTTTTGGGGGGGGAGGGTCACACCCGGCAATGCTCAGGGGTTACTCCTGGCCTTGCACTCAGGAATTACTCCTGGGGTGCTCGGGGACCATATGGGATGCTGGGGATCGAACTCGGTTCAGCCATGTGCAAGGCAAACGCCCTCCTTGCTCTTCTGTTACTCCAGCCCTCAAACACATGAAAATTCTTAGTTTACCTTTTTTTTTTACAGAACTCACAGTGAAATGACAAGTCCTAACTACCACGTACATGACAAATACTGAAACCCTTTCAACCCAAGCCCCTTTCCACATCCGCCAGAGTCCTGCCTCCCAGTCTCCACTCCCACTGCAGTGGCAACCTCTTCTGATTGGCTCCAGGAAACTGTTGCTTCTTGGGCAGGTGTGCTGCTGTCCTCTCTGTCCAACAATCGTCCCTTCACCTCCACCTTTGAGGATTGATATTGCCCTGTTCCAAAATACACTAAATAAAACACTCGAAATGGCAGGCTTTCTCCCGTTCATGTGTGACTCGAACAACTGATGCAGCAATGCAGCTGCACATCCGTACATCTTGTGCCTTGAGTCTAAATTCCCACACCAAAGTCAGGTTCTGGTGAAACACTGGAGCAAAATGAACATTGGCACCAGGGTGATAGTGCAAATAGGCCCGTGACTTGCATGTCTGAAGCCCAGAATTCCACCTCTGACCACCTCCCAGAGGGATCCCAAGAACCTCAGGACCATGGAATGTGGCCTCTTTTAAAAATAAGGTAGGTCTCACAGTTTAGATCTTTGCAATAGAAACCACTAGTTGGCAAATTAGTGGACACAGTGTTGATGAACTTAACTGATCATTAAGTTCAGAAAAAAGAATACAAAGTCAAGTTAAATGGATCGAGTGGAGGACTGGAGAGAGAGCTCAGACTGGAACACGCCTGGCATGCACAGAGTCCCAGGGTCAGTTCCTGGCACCAGATGGCCTCACAAGCCCTGCTGGGAAGACCCCAAGCAAATATGAATGTGTCAAGAAGCCCAGCTTTGATCTCTCACTACCATCTTGTTTTGAGGCTGTACCCCACGTTGCTCAGTGCTGGGATTGGGGGCAGCTTCTCTGGGCAGTCCTGGGGAACAGGATCCAGGGGTCCAACGTGCAAAGCATACTGAGCTCTGGAGTCCCCTGAGCTGTTCCCCAAAGCCATCTCTGTTACTCTCGCTTGTCCTGCCTCTGCCCTGAATAGATGGGGGAGGAGGGTGGGCAAATCTACATTTCTCCCACCACTTTGGGTACAGAAGGGCACCCCTCCATGAGCCTCCCAGTTGCTAGATGATGTGTCCAGTGCCTGTAACAACAAAGTCTCTGGCTCGTTCATTGATAGAAGCTGTCCACTGTGCCCACTGTCCTGCCCTCTTCATTAGGGACCTGGGGAGGCAATTCTTTGGTCTTGGCCTTGTTTGCCCATGTTGCAATTTTGAAATGGTGTCTGGCTAGCTGGGCCTGGCTTGTATTTACAGCTGAAACTTGTGCCTCGGCTGCTTGTCTCCAGGCTTTCAAAACTCCTTGTCGCTGCCACTCCCATCCCTCAGTCATTCCGCACCCACCTGCCACTCCTGATTCAGATAATGCACCTTTTGCGGCCCCCATTGAACTTCACTTTTGATGCACCTTTGATGGGTCCTGTGGAATTTTCCTTTTGACCGCCAGCTTTAAGGAGCCCCCTCCAACAGTTCCCTCTGCTGATTCCAGGGAAAGCTCCACCTCTAAGGGGGGTTGGCAGGGCTGGAGAGATAGCACAGTGGATAGAGTGTTTGCCTTGCATGTAGCTGACCTAGGTTCAATCCCCAGCATCCCATATGATCCCCCAAGCACTGCCAGGAGTAATTCCTGAGTGCACAGTTAGAAGTAACCCCTATGCAACGTTGGGTGTGACCCAAAAAGAGAAAAAGACCAAAAAAAGGGGGGGTAGCTTATCAGAAGCTTCTAAACTTGCAGTGCCCTTAGAAATAAAAGATGAGGCAGAAAAACAAACTCCCTCTGGCTGCCCTGCTGTGCTGCTCCCACTCCCCTCCCTGGCATAAGGCGACTGTTGCCCTGGGGTCTGCAGCAACTGAGACCCAAGTTCTCCCTGTTAGCATCCTCATTGGCAGAAACAGGTTGCTAATGGGCTTGTGTTGGTACAGTGGGCAGGACACTTGCCTTGCGCATGAACCACCCCAGGACCCTCTGTGGTTCCACAGCACCACCAGGAGTGAGCCCTGAGCACAATTGGGCCTGGCCAAAAGAAGGAAAGAGAGAAGAAATAGGTTTTGAAAGGCTCTGTCTGTAACTAAGATGAAATAGATACTTTCATGATTGACACAATCCCAGTCCGAAGGTAGTGGTGGCTTAACTGCACCTGCCTTGCATGTGGTCTGGGGGACCCCAGTGTCCCCCAACTGTGGAGCACAATCCTGGCACCTCTGCTCTCTGCAGCCACAGGAGCTGTGAGGAGCCCTAAGTGATTCCAAGTCATGCCACAGCCAGTGTGTGTCAGAACCATGAAAGGGTGAGCCCCCAGCAAGCACTATGTGAAAAGATGTGTGAGCAGCACTGCTTGGAAGGAGAACCTCGCTGAGCACGAGCACCAGCGCTGAGTGTGCAAACCCACCCCCCAAGGGGTGTACACGCCACACAGCTGTGCCACAGGGAGACATAGGAGATAATGGCAGCAATGAGCAGGAGGAGAGAGGAGGGAAAAAAATCTCCTGTTTTCAAATATTTGTTTGACATGCAATATTATCTGATACTCAGGTGGGGTTTTTTTCCATAAAAAGTACATTTTTGGGAGACCTGAGAGATGATACAGGGATGAAGGCTCTTACCACTGACTCTGGTCTGATTCCTGACAAAGTTGAAAAAACATGTCCAAAATTGGAAGGAAAAATGAAAAACGTAAGAAACTTAAGACATATCCATCTGGGATATTTAAAATGTGATCAACAGGGGCTGGAGCAACGGCACAGCGGGAAGGGCATTTGCCTTGCACGCGGCCAATCCGGTTTCAATTCCCAGCATCCCATATGGTCCCCAAACACTGCCATGAGTAATTCCTGAGTGCAGAGCTAGGAGCATCGCTGGGTCTGACCCAAAAAGTAAAATAAATAAAATATGATCAACAGGTATTTCGGAAAGAGAAAACAAAGGATAGGATATTACCATCAAGGAGCTAAGAAAAAAATTCACAGCCAAGAACACACATTTTCAGATCAAAAGTTCTGTGTTCAGAGCAATTTTCAGCAGCTCAATCATCCTGAAATCTCAAAACACTGAATAAAAGAGAGGGGATGGGAGAGAGGCAAGAAGGAAAAGGAGTAAGAATCCTGATAGCATGGGGCTGGGGTGACAGTCCAGCAGGGAGGGCACTTGCCTTGCACACAGATCACCTGGGTTTGATTCTCAGCATTCCATTTGGTCCCCCAAACACCACCAGGAGTGATCCTTGAGCATTACCAGATGTGGCCCCAAAACAAAACCATAAAACCTGAAAAAAATTACAAAACTTCAGGACTGGACGGAACCAGGCTTTGCATTCAAAAGAGCTGGGTTTGTTCACCATCTCTGCATGGTTCCCTACACACCACTGCAGGCAACTCTTGAGCACCACCA